GCGAAGGGGCTGTGTGTGCAACGGGGCTCGGGGGTCCTGGAAACAGCGCGGGCTGGGGGCCCGATCCGGATCTACCCACGCATGGGCTGTGTCACAGGGAGGGCTGGAGGATCAGCACCCCACCAGCACCCCGGCCAGGATGGGGGGGTCCCTTTTCTCCCCTCTGGGCTCCCTGTGCCGCTGGTCCCTGCCCTGCAGCCCCCTCCTGCCTGGAAATCATTCGCTTTTCTGTGTCCCCCCCCAACCAACTTTCAGTGTTTTGGGGGTGCTGGTGCCCCTAAAGCTCGCCCAGTTTCGGGGCTGGAGTGCCTTCCTCGCTGGCAGGGTGTGAGGAAGAGGAGGAGGAGGTTGGGGACACATCACCCCAGTTTCCCCACCAGACGGGCAGGTAGGCAGGGAGGGGTGCCGGGGATGGTTGGACCATGGGATGAGGACTGGGATATGGGCTGGTTGCAACCCCAGGATTGGGCTGGGAGTGAGTGGGGGGCACTGAGCTTCCCTGGGGTCCCAGATCCAGTCATTCTTCCAGTCCCTCTTCCCCTCCACCCCACTGGACCAGAAGACCCACAGATCCTCTGGCTCATTTCCTTTTTGGTCCCAGAGGGAGCTTTGCCTCCTCCCAGCCAGCAAGTCCAACCCCTGTGCCCAGAGATCGTAGGTCCAGGAGTGTTCGGGTCCCAGTTCAGCTCTGGTTGCCCTCCCAGGACCTATCTTGCCCGGCCCTGGACCTACATCCTGTGTGTCTGGGTTGCAAACACACTGCATGGCCTGATTGCCAACTCCTCTCTCTGCCTGTGGTCCCCAGGGCTCTCTTCCTCCTGGCAGTGTCCCCTGGGCATCTCCTCCTGCCTAAGCATGGCTCGTGGCTCTCCTCGTGTCCCCTGAGCTCCAGGTCTTGCACAGAGGACTGACTGGGTGTAGCTGTCCTGGCTCTGCCCTTTGGCTGCTCTTTATCTCCCAGTTCTGTTGCCCCCATTGCAGTGGGACCCTCGGCTGCCTCAGTTTCTCTCCCTTTGGGTCACACCTTGGTTCAAGCCCCACGTGAGAACCTCATGGCTGAGTCCTAATGCCCCAGTGCTGCCAAATCCCAGTGCACAGCTTAGAGGGGATGGACGCCCAGATGTGAGCAGCATCTCCCTGGGTGTAAATCAGCATCGTCCCCTGAATGATCCCACACCAAGATGGGATCTGGGCGATGAGGGAGGTGGGAACCCACTGAGGCTGCTCGCTGCTCCCCTCTGCATGGTCCTAGCTGCAGGCTGAGGTGTGTCACATCTCCTCAAGGGGTCCAAGAGGCTTCAGGTCACCAGCTTGTGCTTTAGTAAGACCTTCCCAGGTGAGGAGGTGGCAGCAGGTGACAGCTCACAACAGTGAGCTCACAAGTTCTGCCTCTGTGGCCCGTTCTCATCATGAACAATGTTCTCACAAAACCTTCTCTGGGTCAGCCCTGTCCTCCTAATTCACCTTCCTATTTCAGTTCAACTAATCGATGTCCAAATCAATTGTGGGTGTCTTGGGAGAACAACCCATTCACTGTCTGCATCTCCCTGGATGGAGTGAGCATCTCACTTGAGATCTCATGGAGGGGACAGCAGGTGGGTTCCATCTGCAGGAAAAACCCAAATCTCAGCGGATCAGTTGCCTTTTCTTTCCGGGGAAGGGGGATGGGAGAGACCAGATCTTGCTTGAACACTCAAAGTTGCCTTTGCTTTTCCCTGCTCTTCAAGGTCAGCTTAGCTAATGAAAATCAATCTTCCCTCTGCCTCTCTCTGCTGCATGAGCAGATTCTACCTGTGGCCCCTCACCTACTTGAAAGCCTCCACCACCTCCACCACCTCCACCGCTGACCACGTGCAACGCTGGTGGGAGCTTCCTATTGAAACAGAGTCTTCCCATGGGTCTGGGCACCGTGACGGTGTCTGTGTCACTGAGGGATCACTCGTTTGATCTGCCAGAGGAGAAGGGGAAGTTGCCTGTGCGTGGAGAGCATGTATCTGAGCTTCAACTCTGGGCTGGAAGTGCTGGGGGAAAGCTCTTGGCTGGGGTCTGGCATGCACCGAATGGCTTCCGTCCTCTGCACGCTCCTGGGCAGCTCCGTTTTGCTGGCAGCAGAATTGGGGAGTTTCTCTCTTCTTCCCTCCTAAGAACCAAGAGTTGGCTCCGTTACGGACCTGCCCCCACCTGCCCCCTCTCCTCACCCAGCCCCGACCATGCAGAGGTTTCATAGAATCATTTGGTTGGAGAAGACCTCTGAGATCTTCAAGTCCAACTGTACCTGTCCACTACTAACCCAGATCTCTGAGCACCTCATCTACCTGTCTTTTAAACACCACCAGGGATGGGGACTCCACCACCTCCTTGGCCAACCCCTTCCAATGCCTGAGAACCCTTTCAGTGAAGAAAGTTTCACCCAGATGCCAGCAACAAGGTCTGGCAGCTTGACGTGTTGGTGATGGTGCTGATGCCATGAGGTCCCACCAGCCTGGACTGTCTCCAGGTTGCGTGTGGGATAACAGGATGCTGCAGCAGGAACTGCCAGGATCTGGGGAGTCTGTGGCCAAGCGTGTGTCTCAGTAGTTGCAATTTATTACTGATGGTGCCTGAAGTTAAAGGTGTTCAGATCTTGCTCCATCCCCGTGTCCATGGTTTGTTCAGGGTACAGCACTGGAGGCTGTTTGCTGTGGGATGGGAAGCTCCAAAACTGCTCCTGCTCTGGAGGAGATGCTGTTCCCAGTCCTATCTCTGGATAAGTCACAGCTTCAAGTTTCCCCTCCTCTAGAGAGGAGAGGGCAGACACTTTTCCCTGGAGAAGGAGAGGGAGGACAGATGGAGTCCATCAGTGCTGGGAAGGGGTGGGAAATCCTCTGGAAGGACACCAAAAGCTCAGGGAGATGCTTTGCTCAGCTGTTCTGAGGGACAGATCTTACAGCCCTCGCCTTTTGGATGTGTCCAGCTCCCCAGGCACAGAAGTACTTTGAGTCTGGTTGTTGGAAAGAACTTCATTAGGAGTTCTCCAGCCAGTCTTTGCTTCCTGGTTTGTATGGATGGATCCATTCTAAAACATAACACAAATGTTTTCTCTGTCTCCCTGCCCCATCCTTTAGGATTTTTAGATGTGCCCTGATGCTGCAGGGTCTCCTCACTCCTGGAAATGCAGCTCTCTTCCAGTGTGGCTGAACTCAGCTGTGACGAGACGATGGACCCACCCGCTGAGGACTTCCAGCAGGTCCTGTCCATTGACCAAATCCGCTCCATCCGTGCCAGCAACAACTACGTGGAGAGACCGGCTGTCTGCTTCCAGCAAACCCGCTCCAACCCATCCCTGTCCCAGCCACCGCACAAGCAAGAGTGGTCCCAGGACCGCCTGGTGTCTTCCACCTTCCAGGACCTCCACCGCAGCCACAGCCAACAGCACCAGATGCCACCTTTGCAGCAACACATGAGCCATTCCAGCACGGCCAGTTCCGTCTCCCAAAGCACCACCGCCTCCGACCAGCGCCTCCTGAGCAGCCTCACACCTTCCCACTCCGGTCATTCCCTCATCCGGACACAACCCCGAGCTGGTGGTGAGCTGAAAGCGGAGGAATCACCGTTGAAAGGGGTGGTGGACAAGCCCACCCTCCACACCGGCCACCTCTTCATCTGTGAGGAGTGTGGGCGATGCAAGTGTGCCCGCTGCACGGCCGCCCGCAGCCTGCCCTCCTGCTGGCTCTGCAACCAGCGCTGCCTCTGCTCCCCCGAGAGCCTCCTCGACTACGGGACTTGCCTCTGCTGCGTCAAGGGTCTCTTCTACCACTGCTCCACCGACGACGAGGACACCTGCGCCGATGACCCTTGCTCCTGCGGGCCGGGGTCCTGCTGTGCCCGTTGGGCTGCCATGAGCTTCCTCTCTCTCCTCATGCCCTGCCTCTGCTGCTATTTTCCTACCTTGGGGTGCCTCAAACTTTGCCAGCGGGGTTATGATGGCCTGAAACGCCCCGGCTGCCGCTGCCAGAACCACCCCAATACCGTCTGCAGAAAGATCTCCTCCTCCAGCGGCACGCCTTTCCCCAAGACGCTGGATAAGCCGGTATGACCCTCCCGGGGAGGAGAAGCAGGCTTTACTCCTCTTCCTCCTCTTCTTCCTCCTCCACTCCCCTCCATCCCCCTCCTCCTCTGGCTCCCTCCGCTCTGCAACGCTCCCCCCCTACCCACCATCAACTCCCAGGAATGAGATGGGTGAACTGGGAGCCCGAAGGCCCTGGGTGACCAGAGGAGCTGGCACCAAGCTCGTGGGAAATGGTGGTTTTGCACATGTGGGTGAGGGACCAGGAGAGGCAGAGAGAGAGCTGTGGGTGCCCTCCCTGGTCATGTCCCACAGGGAAGGGTGACCCAAGGGGTCACCTGCCACTGCCTCATGGTGTGCTCCTTCCTGATGGGGGGAAGAGGCAGGTCAACACATCCCCAGTGCAAGAGTCCTCCAGGAGCCAGACCTTTCTCTCTTTAGCTCTCTCCAGCACTTTTTGTGGGTGGCCTCTCTCCTCTCACATGGCCATAGCTCTGCTCTCCCCAAGGGGCTGAGGTGCTGTGGGGTCCTACCAGTTGCAGTGGCTTCCTTCTGGGCTTGGAAGCCACTGGGAGAAGCAGGTGAGCTTCAAAATGAGGTGGCATCATATTATTCTGTCTCATAGAGGAAGGGAAGGTGTGGGAAGCTTTAGAAACCTGGCAGGAGCTCTTGGAGGCAGCCCACCTCACTGGCTTCTGCCCGACTGCAGAGAGGGAAAGGTCCCCTCTGGGATTTGACTGAGAACAAGAAGCTGGTTTGAAATTGTCATTCATTTCTCAATGCCTTGAAGAGCTTCCTCCAGAGCACAAACCCTGGCAGGACAGGAGCTGCCACCCAGCTCTGTCCCACCACCAAGAAGATGCCACAGCCACCATCTCTGTGCTTGAGCCCTAATCTGGTACCTTCCACCAGCACTTAAGAAATAAATCCCCCAAACCCAACTTCTCAACAGCTGCCACCCGTGCTGCTCCCCCATCAGTTAGCATCAATCCTGGGGACTCATCAGCAGGACTTCTGCAACTCCTGCTTTGGGCTGAAGGAAAACAGAGAGCAGAAGGGGGTGTTGGAAGACCAACCTTCTCTCCCTGCAGAAGCTGCTGTTGAGTCCTCACCTCGCTTTCCTTGGCCCACCGGTTCGTCCCACCACACCAGTGTCACGCCGGCAGGCAAACCCTGCTGGCACTGCTTGGAGATGTTCTGCAACAGCAGCTGCCTGCGGCCAAGTGGAGATGGGTCTGAACCAAGCCCTGGGGCTGGGCCATCTGCAGACCAGCAGGAAACCTGAATTGGGGTCAGTGCTTCGTGGCTGTCTTGCTCTGATGATAATAAACCCAATCCTACAGTTGGGACGAGCTTCTCCTGGTCCCTGGACTCAGCCCCACCTCCACTTGCCTGGTGCCAGCTCTCAGTTGTGACCCTGCTGACATCAGTCAGGGGAGTTTGGAGCTGGGATGATGTCCCAGTGCTCATCTCTGCCCATCCATCCCTCCTTGGAGGTGTGTGTGAGCGCAGAGGGAAACGAATGGTTCCCCTGGAGAAATACACACAACGTGTCCCTTGGCTTCACCCAAGACCCTGCTGTCCTCGGCTCATCCATAAAAAAAACCCTCAGCCACCTCTTTGCGTAGAGTTCTGTGGATCTATTTTTGTATATAGAAATATAACGATAGGATAATTAAGTCAATTACTAATAATATTCATGATATTGCTGTGAATGGTGCCAGATTCAAGGTTTGGGCTTCCTGGTACACTTGCACATGCTGGAAGATAATTTCCCAGGCTGTTTATTGCTTAATCCTAGACCTTGAGTTCCTCAGGAGTAGGGAGAGGAAGGAGAAGTTTCCAGGTTGTGCAGGGAGAAGGTTGGATTTAGTGCTGGCTGTGGCTTCTACCTCCATAAGATCAGCCTGTGTGGCAGGAGGTTGACTCTTCTGGTGGGATTCCTCTTCTTTTTGTTATCTAACAAGCACAGCTGATCCCAGCTCCCCGTGTTGCAGAGAGAAGCAGTTCCAGGGAGTGATTCATCGCGCTTGAAAACATTATTCATCAAATTCTGTTTTCACACTGCTTGTCTCCCTTGACCCAAATGGGACCCAAACACTGAACTCACCATTCCCCATGGAAGGGGACATGAATCCCTGTGGAAAAAGAGATGAATCCTTGTGGAAAGGGAGATGAATCCCATCCCTGGTGTGAAGTTTGTACCTGGGGCATGTGATGGACATGAGGAAAATCCTCACCCTGATTTCCCCTAGAGCCTGAGAGAGGATGTTGACAGATGTTTCCTCTGGTCAGAGATGAAGAGCTCACTTCCATAAGCTGTTGGCAATTCAGGATGATGCTCTGGGTTACAGTGAGGATCCCCTGGCATTAAGAAAGGAGAGGGCCACATCTCTGCAGTTTGCATATCCTCTGAGGCCAACCTTACACTCTGAAATCTTTTGGGTTTGAAGGCAACGACCTTCTCAGAGGATGCCCTGGAGGTGCTTCTACCCCCATAAGATCAGCCTGTGTGGCAGCAGTTATAAAATAGATTGCAAACATATTTATCTCTATGCCAATCATTGCTTGGCTCCCTACTTCCAAGTGGTGTTTGAGGGAGAGAGTCCCACCAAGAAGCACCTTCCTTGTGTGAACACTCAGTTCACTTTTCTATTGGTGCTGGTTAAACTCCTTCTTCCCAAACAAATTTAGAACTTTTTAAGGGGAAAAAAATAAAGGTCCCTTTTTCACTGAGGACTTGAGGAACCATCTCCCTCGAATGAGAATGTGAAATAGCCCATTGAAACTTTTTAAAGAAAACTAATGAAGAGAATTTTCCAACTTGCTCCACTTTTTGATTTTTTTTTCTTTCTCCTCCTTTTTTAAATGGATCCTACTTGTAAATTTAGTTACCACCTCTATATCTCTGCAATTCATTGCTTCCTCTCCTGATGGTGGAATGACTCAACATGTGAAACTTCATCATTTTCACGGCCTCCCAAGTCATGCGAGCACGGGGTGACTTCCCCCAGGTGCTGGAGCTGGAGGATGAGAAGATGGCTGGCCATATATCGGTTCCTCAGAGCCAGTTTTGCTTGGCACTAGCACATCGAGGAGGAACCCTGCACTACTCTTGCAGCACATTTACCTCCAGTCGTTGGGAGGAGGCCAGGACATCTGCCAGGAGCCTTCTACCTAATGGGATTTTATCTGGGTCAGTGCAGAAGTCCCATTTCTACCAGGGAATCATGCCATAGCCTGGGAGCAGGGCTGAGGAGTCCAGCCAGGTCTCTTGAGTGTCTCATCTCCAAGAAATGACAAACCCATGGGATATATCTGATGAAATATGGGATGTGTAGAAGGGAACTGGAGAGGAGGAGAGCCCCAAATGGGCCCTGAGGGCTGTCAGACCAGCATGGGGCTTTGGTTTGACTGTGTTGAGGGCAAATTGCAAAGCCACATCCAGGCCTTGCAGAGAAGTTCAGAGCTGTTGGCCCCTACCCTGCTCGTAGAGGCAGGTGGCTTCACGTGGGGTTACTCCTTCCCACTCCATCTGGAGGGGCCTCAGTGAGCTCCCATTCCTTGCTCTCAGCAGAAAGAACAGGTCAGGATTGTGCCAACAGCTCTCCAAGGAGGCCAGCTCTGGTTCACTGAGCTCATCTGGTGTCAGGAAAGCTGTGGGGTAGCCTCTGATCGTGGGGTTTTTTTTTTCCTGAGCTTTTCCTAACATCTTCAGACCAGATCCATCCTGCTCCCTCCCCGTCTCTGCCTGCCAGAGAGTTTGGTTTCCCTGCAGAGAGGACTCCAATTTTGGTTGGGGTTGTGAGCCCCTTTCCTGCCCCACCCTGTAATGAGTCAGATAACATCTGCTCCAGATGTTTGTTTGCAGCTGCTTGTCCTGGCAGTTTGGGTTTCTCTCTGTCCTGACGTGTCTTTTTTGGTTTTCTTTTGGGAGAGTCACATGCCGAGGCCTCTGTTTTCCCTGATTTGACGAGGACAGATCTGCTTCTTGAGGGAACATTTCTCCATGTGGTGTGTCTCTGCCAGTCGTGGGCTCCTTTGCCAGGAAGTGTGCAGGGCTGTCGAGCCAACTCAGGTGGGGAAAGAGAGACTCAGGTGCCAAAGGAGCAGGAGGCAGGAGCTACTGAGCAGGACCTGAGCTCCTCCTGCTCTGCTCCCCATGCAGGAGCCTCCTCTTCCCACCCAGACCTCCAAAGCTCCATCCACATGGAGATCCTGTTGGTGCTTGCTTTCCCCAAGGCTTCCCTTGGTCCCCTCCTTCCCTTGCTGGCACACAGTCCTGGCACTGCTGAGGAGGAGTCACTGAGGTGGAGTCTCCCTCCTATCCCAGTGACTCCAAACCTCCTGGTGGAAGGGCAGAAGTGGTCCTTGGGCTGCTGTCCACCCATCCCTGAGAAACCTCAGTGCCAGCCAAAGAGTAGGAGGGAAGCTCTTTGTCACTGTCCTCTCAGATTCCCATAAAATCCCATTGAGTCAGCTCTTCTCCATCCCAGTGTTCTCTGGGCAACAGGTTGGCTGGAGGAGCTGTGGCTGCTCCTCCCTGGATGTGTTTGTGGCCAGGTTGGATGAGGCTTTGAGCAACCTGGTCTAGTGGAAGGTGTCCCTGCTGCTGGCAGGGGGGTTGGAACTAGATGAGCTTTGAGGTCCCTTCCAACCCAAACCAGTCTGGGATTCTGTGATCTCTGTCCCAAACTTGCTGTTTCCACCACCCACTTTGTTAGTTTGCTCTCCATCTCTGGCCCTTGGGTGTTTCCAGGCTGGAGAAAGCTGGGAGGTCTTCAGATACTGGAAAGTCTAACGTTGTGGGATCAGCAGGTGAGGAAAGTGGATAAGGAATGTCCCCCCACCCTAAAGCCCATTCTCAGTCTTTAATAGGATCCAGTTCAGGCTTGTCTCCTTCAAGGAGCCCGTGGAGCCCAGACCTGAGGGATGCTTGCAGCAGCTGGAGGCTACTGGTCAGCACCTGGTCCATATGGGCCAAACCAGAGCTGTGATCTCTTCGGGCTCCATCTGCTTCAGGATATTTC